CGCGCCCGCCCCGGCCCCGGGCTGGCCCCGGCAAAGAGGCCCCGGCCCCCGCTCCGGCCCCCGGCCCCGCCGAGGACGACCTGCTGGGGCAGCTCATCCGAGACCTGGTACGGACCCGCTCAGCCTCTCGCTCCGGGGCCGGTCGGGCAAGGCGCCTCCCTGTCCCAGTGCCGCGGGGAGCGGCCGGGACCGCTGGCTGATGCGCCGACATCTGACATGACACACAGACGAGGAGGAAGAAACAGGGTCGAGTCCAGGGCACTGAGGCAGGGGAAGGAGGGATGGGCCCTGGGGCTGTCCTGGCGAGGTGCCGGGGAGAAAAAGAAGTCGTCTTCTCCTCCGAGCGCCTCCTCAGCCTGCCCGAGGGGAGGCAGGGAAGCTGCGGCCCAGCAGCTCATTCAAAGCCTTGGTACTTGTGGGGGGCGCACCCGATAGAAAGGGCTGGGGTGGGGTGGGAAGGGGGATGCAGGGAGGTTTATGCACTCCCGGCATCACAAACACACTCAGGTGAGGATTAGGATCCCCAACATGGTAAAACTTTCCCTGGCCACCCTGAAAAGGAAGGATCTACTCAGGGTGGACCTAGGATTTTGAAAAGGAGGATGGCCCCGGTGCAGTGCACTCTATATTATATAGCACCTGTTTTCTCCAGGTAAAAAGAAACTAGAAATGAATATGCTAGGGGCCTAGGGCCATATTATTCAACTTAAGATTGACGCAAAACCAAATATAAGTCATTAGGATGAGTTAAGAACAGGCTGCAGGGCACAGATGTGGGAGCTGCAGTACAGGGGCAATGACCAGACAGCAGAAGTGCAGAAGAAAGGCCAGCTCTGGAGTGGAGCATCAAGAACATTACAAAGGAGAGAGCGTCATTACTCATTAACATCTGTGGAATTAAGAGGTTAGGAGGAATTGGGGAGATTTCAATGTGCCAGGAAGTCAATTGTCTTTCACTGCTGCCTGGCAAGAAATGCTGCCACTGCCAGGCAGTTGGTTTTATATTTTGGCTGGAGCAGGAATCAAGGGAGAGTGCAAGTGCAGCATCTGCCCCTAGATTTACTGCTTTACTTTTTTTGGATAAATATTTTTTTCCAGTATGTGTTGACGTGAACCTTTTCTCTGTGGTGGGGTAGGAAGGTTATAGAGTGTAAATACCTTTTGCTTGTGTGTGGGGTAGAAGGTTCTTTGTAATAAAATTGTAACATCGGAGTCATGGATTAAACATGGACATTATTACAGTACAAAGTGTAAACATTATTGCAGTAAAAAGAAAATCACTTTTTCAGGAGCACAGCATGCTTCTTCTGTTGCTCAGTACTCTCTCCAAGCACGGTGTAGATTCATTTTTGGTTTAACTTGTTCTGAGGTTATTGCATCTCAGTTCTTGAACGTATGAATTTATCCACAGCAGTTTTTTTCACAACATATATTTTCCTTCCCTACTACGCTCAGATTGTGGTCAGACCTTCTGCTGTTAAATTCATTAGGTTTATTCAAGACAGTGCATGCTTAGTTATGTTGCCTGTGCTAAATATCTTGCCACAGCATGGGTTTGTGGAGAAACTTTCCTGTCACCAAGAAAACCAATATTAATTGCATAAATGAAGCAGTTAATTTGAAAGTAGTCCAAATTGCAGATCTGAACAAGTTAAAAGCTTATTCTGCTAAATTCTCCCTGTACTCTAGTTGTAATGGAGATTTTATTTATGGTGTAGAAAAAAATAGTAGGGAAAGCAAGTCCATTTTTTTTTTTTGCTTCTTACTAACTTCACTGTGACTAATTACTCTTTCCTTTTTTAAAAAAAATTAAGAGGAGCAGATTAAATTTCTGACTGCAAGGCACAAATTAATCCATTTACAGAATTAGTGCTCCATTAGCACACAGGAGTGCAAATCGGTCTCAGAGGGGATGGCAGTATTTGAATTTTGGATTCATTCCAATAGACTTTTAGACAGGCCAGTGCTGACTTAATGTTATATGGTTTCTTTATAGTTTTTGCTTTTTGTGCTGTGGTAAGCTCTATGCTATTGACACGTGAATTGTTTGGGGATTTTCAATGTATGTACACTGGACATGCACTTTGCTTAGATGAGCCTATCAGGTGCTAGCAGTTATGTTCTGCATCATGGAAAAGTGATTTTTTTTCCCCTTGCGATAAGGAAGTCTGTGTTTAATCTGTGCCCCTGCTGTTATGATTTGGTCATTAGTATGCTAGATCTCAGGGAAAAAAGTTAAATATATGCAGTTTCACTTTACTGAGGAAAAATGTTATCCTTGGGATGTGTCTACAAGGGGGAATATTGGTAATGTGAATTAGCTGTTTTGAATTGGCTCCCTGTGCAGGCAGTTATCACTGAGAATGCCTTCAGTCCACTGTGGAAGAGTTAAATTAAACTGCACAGTGAGTCAGTGTGGAATAAGAGAGTTCACACAGACTTAGTAAGGAATAGTTATTGCTGTGTATGTTCACAGGCTAGCTAACTGCAATGTTTTCCCCACGTACACAAACCCTAAATAAGCCCACTGTAGGCTATGTTGTTGTTTCTCAGTATTGTAGAGGGTATGGATTTGAGGAGTAGGCAAGGAAGGGTGTTGGAGAGAGACTTGGAATGAGGTGGTGAGGCAGCCTGGCCAGCAGGATGAAAGAAGAGCTGGAAAGTACAGGTAGCTGATGAATCAGAATGTGCTTGTACCTAGATAATGAATTCCTTGTACCTAAATAATGAATAATGGGGATTATATTTTCTCAAAGTTAGACATCAAAGTTGTTTTAAGCATGAGTTATACTGGGACAAGCGTGAAGATTTTGAAGCATTTAAGATGTAAATATTACAAAACCCTGAAGAAATATCGGCAAGCAAAATTTCAGAAATAGAGGGAAATTTAAGTGTTCAAAATGGGTCAGTTCTGCAAGTACATTTTATGAAAAATATACCTGGAACATTAATTTAGATTATGTAGTCAGCATGATAGCGGAAAATTAGAAATGAGAGGATTTAAATCTTTTTTTTTTCTAGCTGCAAATCTTGAAACATTACGTGCAGTGTAGGCCCCCACAATACTGTAGCTACTTAATGAGTTAACTGGTCCTTAAAAAAAGTAATCTCTGTTGCCTTTAAAGAAGGTAAGTTTTGTATTTTTATTCAGTTAAAACAGAGATTCTTATAATACATTTATTTTGGTTGGAAATGATTAATTTCGGGCTTGCAGGAAAACAGTGTAATCTCATTTTGGTCTGTTAAATGCAGTGTCCTATCATCTTTGGTCAATTAGCCCCCACCATTTAAAAACTCTCAATGAAATAAATTTGCAGTAGACATAGGTTTTTAAGTGCATTCATGTTAATCTCTTTGACAAAGGTGTTTTGTGTTAGAAACGTGTCCTGTCTTTCAGATGAGCAGCACCCCTGAGAATCTCGTGAAGTGGAATCTATTTATCTTTTATTTTTAAAATAGTTGTAGCTGTCTTCACAGCAACACAATTGCTTTATGGGGATTTCTGTGCTGGCCCTTGTTACTTAAATACAAAAAAAAAAAAGCTTGCAACTGAACATTAGTAAATGACAAAGTGCTTTATATTGGTTTATTGAAACCAGTAAAATCACTTGAGTGCAAAAAAGAAGCATTATTCAAGTAAGATCTGTTGTGTCTTTGTGACTAAAAATTCCAATAATATAGACAAGCCTGTAATTCTCTCTTATCTGAAATAGAAATGTAGCCTTTTATGTTTCAGGTGGCAGGAATGTGACTTCCTGATCTAACTCCTAGGATGAATCAACAGACTAGCTGGGAACCTTTATGCATGTATTGTTATCTGACATCCTGTTGTAGTGGGATTGCAAGGAGGAAAGGCAGAGTATTCCTGGTTTACATCACTGAAACTGATAGAACTGTGAAAACGTCAAGAGTGCTTGTAATCCCTCCTGATTATATCATAATATTTTTCCCAACTACTTCATTCCTTAGCATGAACAGTTTATTTATTCATACATTAGTGAAAGCTAGTAGTTTAACAGCCTTTAACTATCTGAAGGGTGGCTACAAGAGGATGGAGCTAGACTGTTCTCAGTGGTGGCAGAGGGGCAGTGGTTTCAAGTTGCAGCAAGGGAGGTTTAGGTTAGATATTAGGTAAAACTTTCTCACTAGGAGAGTAGTAAAGCACTGGAACAAGCTACCCAGAAAGGTTGTGGAATCTCCATCCTTGGAGGTTTTTAAAATGCAGCTAGTAGACAAAGCCATGGCTGGGATGATCTAGTTTGGGGGGGTGGTCCTACTTTGAGTAAGGGGTTGGTCTAGATGACCTCCTGAAGTCCCTTCTAAGCCTAATTTTCTGTGATTCTATTCTCCTTTTTTCAGAATGAAATAAATGAGATTCCTTTCTTTGATGTCCAGCTGCCTTATGAACTAGCATTAAAAATATTTCAGTACCTGGGTAGAATTGAGCTGGGAAGATGCGCTCAGGTAAGCATTATCCAAAATTTACTTGCTTTATTTCATGTAAGATCAGCATGACTGCTCAAGTAAACAGTCATGCATTCAGCCATTCTACTGTGTGGTAGCCATAAATGACACTTTCTTCTCACCCGAGACTTGGGCTTCTGTAATTCTTTGCATGTTGGAAGCTCTCCAAAAGCTGAATATAGAAAGCAGTAGTAAATGGATTTGATTTATGGTCTGCAGCAGTGTACAGTTAACCAAAACGTCCAAGGTTTGATAACAGCTCTAAAGGGACACCGTCAGAACTTAAGACCAAAAAAAATGCTTGCATAAATTTAATTCCAGTAAATATAGTGGTTCATAAACAAATGAGAATTCCTGGAGTATTTGAAATCCAAACATTGCAGTACTGAAAACCTGGATATAAAGCTGCTTTAATTATTTCCATTATGCACGCTGAAATGTAGAAAGTTACTTAACAGCATAGTGAGAGGTGGACTGTGACACTTTCTCTCAGTTTTTAATAATTTGGTAACCTCTCCTAGAGTGAAAATACTCATGTTGAGGTTTTTCTTCAGACTGACAGCATCATTTTTGTGTGATTATAAACAGCTTCTGTTACCAACCTGTCAGCAATCAGTTTGTTTCAGACTCACCCTCTTTGTGAATTTTAGTTTTATTAGCACAGGAATTAACTATAATGCAACAGCATTGGCTCAGCTGGTCCTAGGACTGTTCCAGCTGCTTCCTTGGGTCTCTCTGCGCAGTCTTTCTTGCTTTCTACAAATTCTGAGAGGCAGGTGGGAAGAACTAGCTTAACAAATGCTGCTGTTCAGGTCAGGTATTTCAACCAGCCTATTACATGGCTATTGTTAGCTGTTTTTGTGCCCCACCTCCCAGTGCCACTGCTGCCACTTGGCCCAACCCCCCTGCCGTATTAGTGACATTATCAGCCACATCAGCCAAAAAAAGCCGATTGCCAATAATGTCAAGTTTCTTTTTGTCAGTGCCAGTACTGTATGGACCCATGTATCGGTGCACCCCTAGGAATTGTGTAACTTCACTGTGGAATCAGATATAAATAACAATCAAATAACATGAATGATGGAATTAAATTAGATTTTTCTGTTTTCTCTGAGTGAATAATTTATGGTGTTACACAGATAAGGAGACTTACCTGACAGTGTCCCTTAAAAAAAAACCAAGCAACAGAACAACACACACAAGTTTTTTCTTCTAAAGTGTTTTTTTTTTTAATTTCTGTCGTATGAGTATGTTAATGTGCCTTGTAGAAGCTTTTGCATCTGCTACTTTTTCTGTCCTCAACTGAGATGTGAGCATGCAATAAAAACTGCATCCTATAAAAATGGAACAGGGCTCCATTTCAAGAGAGGATTGCTTAGAAAATTAATTTTTCTACAGCTGTGAAAAATTTACTTCAGAGCATAGCAGTATTTCTGGCTACCAAAGGGACTCCCCTTTTTTAGCTGATCTTGAGTTCACCTTTTATTCAGGCTTATTTCTTTAGGTATTAAAAACATCTTATGAGAAGGTAAATGTTAGATGAGGAGAATGCTCTTAGAAGAAATTCCTAAATAGAAAGTGGTAGCTAACAAATAGCTGAGCATATGCCCTGTATTTTACAACGCTTGCAGAATGAGATGAATATCCAAGGCTTTTAGCACAGAATTGGCTTCTTTTAAGTGTTCAAATAAAAAGCAGGGCAATAAAAATAAATACCATTTTCATTTTTCTCTTGGTGATTTTGTTGGTTTTGGGGGGGGGGGGATAAAACCCCTCTTCTATTAAATGGAATTCCCAGCTGCTTTATAATGTTATCATAGAAAGGTTGTTTTTATTAAGGCGCCTTGGGATTTTAGTGAAATTGAGCCAGTTAGTGGATTTGGCTTCATGAACTATGTGAGCTCCTTTTGGAGGAAACCAGTTTGCTTAGTTCTTTACACCAAATTGGTAACTGACTAACAGTCAAGTTGTGTGACAGCGAAGTCTCTTAGAGGTTATATCACACAATAGATTGTTCTGAAAAACTTTAATTTTACCCTGATTGCTTTTCTCCTTCCCCCTTTTTTTGTTCCTTGGAGAGTCTCTTTGATTTCTTAAAATTAATACTATAAAGTGCAAAGTGGTTTGTGTGGCATTTTATGTAAATTAATTGTCATCAGTTCCTGAAGTCTGAGTTCATGAGGCAGTGAACAATCCATGCTAGTATAAATTGGAGAATTACTCTTTTTTGATTATTGCATTTTTAGAAGTCACAAAAGGCTCTTTCTTTCCTTATATTTGTCATGGATGGGAATGAGATGAACAGGTATTTGGGAATGTACATATTTGGCAAATATTTAAACAGCTTCAAAAAAGGGGGTGATATTGAGGACCTTCTGCTGCAGACATGAGTGGAGAGCAGAAGTGCTATGAACAGCTTGTCTTATGTAAGTAGTTTCATTAGCTTTCCTGCTTTTGCAGTATCAGGCCCGTCAGTTCATCACTGTGAAGCCGTGTGGTTTGTCCGTATTGTATAAAGCAGTTTAAACTCTTGGCTATATACATATATCCATTTACAGTTACTAAAAAAGACAACTTTAGTTGCTTAAATTTTGTGGTGACAATACTCCATTATGTGTATTAAAAATTGTAGCTAAAGGAGGATTTAGTTTTGTTTGTAACTAGATTAGTAGGAGATTTAATCCATGTCTGTTTAACACTAGTAGTATGTTTTTTATCTTCAGAGTAATTTGGAAACATTAACCAGTACAGTAGTTCTGTGCATTTTGTGATAGTGGAAAAACAGAGAATGAAGGAGACGGGGAGGAGTAAGTACTTAATAAGTATTCAACAGGAGTTTTGGTCCGTCAGTTATAATAAGAGTAGTAACATTTGGAATCTGATATGAAGAGTGTTGTAGATAGTATTTAAAAAACAGAAGGCAAACAGAAGGTTTTGTGGTTTGATTTCTATGTTCACATGTGCTGCTTTCTCTTTGTTCTAAGCAAGATGTAACATTTTTTCTGTGTGGAGGTGAGGGGAAACTGAAGTTTCTTTATCCAGAGTGGCCAGGACACTAATGTAACATAGTAAAAAGATAATGGGCACATAACAGGCAAAATAAAGTTAGACATTTATAGAGGTAGGGTCAGCATTGCCTTTCAATGATTACATCTTGCTATGGAAGGATTTATAATACAATACAAACTTGGAAAATAATGATACCCCAGTTTATTTTGTAATAAGGGTTTAGAATGTTTAATCTGAGCTTTCAGATAGCCTTTAACAAAAGGGCGGGCTGTGCGTGCGCTCACGCGCAAATAAAGCTATGATTTTTGGCTGTCAGGGCCTCACCTGAATCCCTAACTCAAGCGAACTAATAAAGCTGACTTCAAGCCAATAGCTGTTTTTTAATGCAGCAGTTCACAGTGGTGTTGTAAAGTGAAATGCTTGAGACACTTTTATTAGAGACTTCTTGCAGCTGAGGCTCGCTCAGTGGGGCTTTTACTAGGGATTGTCATGCCAGTTTTGATGCATTAAGGAAAGACTGTGTTTGCGACCCTTTGGAAATTTATGCTTGTAAACTGGCACAACTCAGTATATAATTTGATTAAAAATCATAATAGGATAAGGTTTCTTTTTTTTCTTTTTAACATTTGTTCATGAAAGTTAAATTGACACACTGTTTTATTGCTTGAATTTCTTTTTTGACCTATTCTTTATTAAAAAAAAATCCTCTTAAAGAGCTTGCAACTAGAAATGGCTCTGTGAACATATTATGGCAAGGTTTTTTTTCTTTTATTTGTAGCAAGGCAAAAATTGGCATAGCTTTTTCTTGTTTACTTCTATTTGTGCAGAAACATGTTCCAGCTAAAGAGAATGGAAAGGATCCTTCTTATCTATAATGTTGTTCCAGAATATTAACCTCTGCAAATCAGGTGTGTGTGTGTGTGTGTGTGTGTGTGTTGGCAAAAAAAAAGTTAGCTTTTTCTTTTAAGGATGGTGCGTGGATTTATATTACTTTGGATGAGTGGGGTTTGAAAGCAAATCTGTCAATGCATTACAGCAGCCTGAAGTTTGGTTTCTTTTTGATTCTTCTCAACTACTTGACCACATCTATTTTGGGATGGAAGCAATGGCCGCTTGAAGTCTCTGTTCTTTTTAATTAAATCATATATAAGTAGGGAAGGTACCATGCAAGTTGTCATTTCTAAGTGAATAACTTGGGCCCAAATCAGTACTCTAGTCCAGTGATGAAAACTGACTCAACCTACATGGCTTAGTTTGGATTGAGTCTTGTAGTCACTAATTAGAATCTCTGCTGGGGCTGGGTACTCGTAGCCAAGAGAAAGCAGCTTTTATGGGCTACAGACCTTAAAAATCTCTGCAGGCTACTTGGCCACCATGGGGACCTATGTCTCTTCCAAGGGTTATTTCCCACTCGATCACAGTTGCCAACTGTTAAATGTCATTATATAGCTATTCCTGTTTCAGTACTGTACCCATGCTGCAGTCTCCTTTGGGGGGTTATTCCCTGGGAAGGGTGCATATTAAACTCTCTCCTTTCCTTGGAGGAACTGAGATCTGCAGTACATACTGTAATACCATTTTTCTTACTTCTTAATGACATTTCAGTTTGGAAGGACATTTGAGGCTGCGTTAAGGTTTCAGTTGGATCAACTGCACTTCTTTGTGCCTCAGTGGAATCAAGACAGCAGCAATTAATATTGTTCGCCATTTCAAAATGTATCACGCCAGTCATTTGTGGCTTACAGAGGAGACCTTGTTACTGCGTATTTGCCACTAGATATGTAAAGTGTTTTTGCACCATGTGTGCTTCTTTGGTTAACATTCCAAACAAATCAACAGCAGTCATTTGGTGTTTGTGGTTGGTTGAGTTTTCTGAACAATCCTTCCCCGCCCCCACATCTATGGGGCAGTTCTTATCTTAATCTACACTTCCTAAATTTTATATGGTATATTCTGATGACTTTCAGTGACTTTGGACTGAGCTGAACTGTAGTGTAAACACAGGGTCACTTTACAGGGTATAGAAAACTTAAAAGATGCACTTACAAGCCTATGACTGAAAACATGTACTAAGCTGCTGATAGTAATTCAGTAAAAATAATGCAGAACTTAGGTTCTACATCTGTCTGAGCCAGTGTGTTGCTGATCACCAGTCTCATGACAGACATGAAAAAACAAAACAAAACAGTGCTTTACTGGAAGAGGAAGTGCATTTGTTTGACCCAGCTCCCCAGTGTCTGTATAGATCAGGTGCTTCAGCAGGGCTTTTTGGCACTTTTATTTAAAGCTGGTTCAATCAACTATTTGATTAAAGTGCCAAAAAGCCCTACTGAAGAATGCGAGCTATACAGACATTGAGAAAGCTGGGTCAAACTGACATGATACCTCTTCTGGCCATGCGCTGTGCTTGGTGCAGGGGTTTGCTAAGCTTAAAGTGCTGGGGTTTGTTTGGTTTTTTTGGGGGGGAGGGGGTTTCCCCCTCATCTGTAAGCAGCCATTGATAGTAGTTTTTCTGACATAAAGCTTTCTCACTGCATACTGCTCTGTTCTTTGAAGCAAGAATTATAAAGAACAATCTATGCTTAAAGTAATTCTTTCCTTTGAGGACTTTTACATCTTTAAAATGATAAATCTAGGCATATGGTTCACTTCAAAGAAGTAATTCTCTCTGAAAAGGGCGGCAACTTGAGGCTACTTTAAAAATTTAGGTTAATATTTAATTCCTATTGATGTGTACTGTAATACAATATTGTGCATCTCACTGCTGTCATGCTCCTAATCAGTCATTGTCAGCAGGGTTTCAGAGGCATGATGCTGAGATGGGAGTTATTTTTAGGTGCAAGTATGAAAACAAATTCTTATTCACACTTGTGTTGAACTTAATGCTACCTAGTTCCTGGCTTTCTCTTGAAATTCAACTCCCATCCCCAGCTCCCAGTCCCCCAATTAGTTTAGATTAAAAGTCTGGATATGAAAAATTGATATTAGTTGGTGCTGCTAGGAATTAGTTGAAGGATGTGTGAAAATATTTTGCTCTTGTGCTCTTTTATATACTGCAGTTGCAGTCCTTCCACTAAAGTCCTACAAAATGTAAGCTTTTTGTTAAAGGAAAAATTGTATATTGTCACAAATATAGGGTAAAACAGATGTATTGATTTGGAAGACAGTTAAGTCCCAGTAGTTGTCTAATGTGATATTTTTCATTGCTGTCTGCTTCTAGGTGAGCAGAACCTGGAAGGTGCTTGCAGAAGATGAAGTGCTGTGGTATAGGTTGTGCCAACAGGAAGGATACCGGCTTGATAACAGCATCTCTGATGGTTCCTGCTGGAAGCTTGCGCTTAAAGATTGTCGGGCCAAAGAACACACTTTAAGAACAAACTGGAAGGTAAAATGAAGAGATTTCTCGAATGGTACCCAGTGATGACTGTGCAGAAAGGTGGGAACCCAGCTCAAATCAGGCATTCTGCTGTTAATGAAATTTGAGCTTCTGTATTGCAGCCTGTTTAGCCAGTAAAAGGTGTGAAGGCAACAGAGGGCCTCATGAACCTGTATTCCTATTCTTGAGGTTTTGTGTTCTGTCTTGTTTTCACGTTGGGGATGTGCACTGGTAACTTCTGTGCCTTCTGGTCATGTAACCAACAGCTCTATGGTTGTTTGCAGTGGATGTTTTTAAACATAGTCCTGTGGCCTTTGGGAAGAGTTATGGGAAGAGTTCTCAGGGGAATGCATCTATTTGCAGATTGTTCTCTATTCTTTCTAGCCTGTCCCCTGTCATCTCTTAATATGTTGAAAGAGAGAGATCCTTAGTCTATGGTGGCTTACAGCTGTCCAATGAACAGTTAATATACAACATTCTTCTCAAGGGAATTAAAATAAATGTTCCTCCTCTAGCTGGTTAGTACAACTTTGCTAAACAAAGCCATGTTGATCTGTCGGGTGATAGTAAGTTGCTCCTACCCCATCTTTAGGTGATGACAAATTTTGGAGTGATACAGAGCATGTAGGGGAAAAATATGGGAGATCATGGCTGTGAAATTTACGGTAGTGTGGTGGAAGGGAGGACTTGCAGAAAGGAGGACTTCACTTCCTTTAGCTTCCACTGACATGGGCAGGATAGCCATTTGATCCCATAAAAAACCACTAGTAGGAGAACAGGAAAGTGAATTTGTTGTTAGACACTCCTAGGTCTATACCAACATTATACTCTTATATTTCCATGCAGAACCGTGTTGGAGCTGTGAGCCAGCTGCAGTATGAATTGGGCAAAGTTCTGTGCAGCGTACATTCTTGTGATGGCGTTGTAATTTCAGGGTACGTATACAATTATTTAATGCTTACGCGTAAGGAATTTTCTGCATTGTGAACTCTTGCATGCTGCTTTTTGACTAATTAAAAAAATCTAGACCGACATAATACAAAACTGTTAAATCTTCCAGCTGCAGTTCTCTTCCAGGTTATAAGCACCACCTCCAAGGCGAAAGTAGTTGTAATTCTTTACTACAAGTCCTTCCAGAGTAGCCATATATATTTAAAAATCAGTAGAAAGACACTTACTTTGCTAGCTTTGAGAGCTCAGTACTGAGAAACAAACAGATTTCTTTAAATAGTAAATAAAATTTGTTTTAGGAAGTTAAGGAGAGGTCAAATGGAAACAGCAAGAGTCCTGTCTGAATTCTCTTAATTTTTGTTATGTACTATAACAGGGGTGGGAAAAATACAGCCCATGGAGGGACTTTGTCCAGCCTGTGGCATGTCCCTCAGTCCCACTTGACCCGGGCGCTGTCTGGCCTGTGGTGCATCTAACTGCCCCCAAGCGCACAGCAGGGCTGGGGTGGCTCTGCAGCTGGGCTCCAGTCTCAGCTCCATGGGGACTAGTGGAGAACCTGCGCACACAACCCTAGCCTTGGCCCTGGCCTGGCTTGTCCTGGCTGCCCCCAACTGGAGCAGACCAGCGCACGCAACCCTGACCCCAGGCCACCCTGCGCCTGTTCTGGACCTGCCTGCCCAAGATAAGCAGTGGCAGCTGGGCAGAAGCTGCTTCTGGGTTTGGGGGAAAAGCAGGCGCCTGGGTCCTGCACTCAAGCTGCCCTGTGGCTCCTCTCTGCAGTAGAGAGGAGCCCCCATGCCCAGCAGCAATTTATCTGGCTGCTGCTCCTGTTCATCACAAGCAGGCTGGTTCAGAGCAGGCATGGGGGCAGGCTGGCATCGGGGCTGTGCACACAGGCCCCAGCAGGTTTGGAGCTGGTCTGCTCCAGCAGGGACAAGTCTGGAGGTGGGTTGGGGCCTGGGCTGTGCACTCAGGTCCCCACCAGTCCCCTTGGGGCTGAGGCTGGAGTCGGCCTCCATGGGGCTGAGGCCCCACGCAGCAGGGCTGTGCACTCAGCTGCTGCTGGCCACTGGTGACGGTGAGGAGCTGCAGGGTGCACGGGTTCCAGGCTGTTGCAGGGGGGAGCTTGGGGTGCAGACTGGCCCACAACTGCCTCCAAAACTGCTTGTGGCCCACGGGCCCAAATAATTGCCCACCCCTGTGCTATAGAAACATAGTATTCTTGTTTTATATAGAACCACAAGTATACCCGGAATCTTACAAAATATGATGAGATATGTCCCACCTAAAAGAGCTTGCAGTCTAGGACCAGCAAAACTCAAGGGGTTTTTGCACCAGGGTAGCTACACCACTGCAAATTCATATTGATTTTACTGACCTAAAAATAACCTAGGAACAAGCAGTAGCAGAAGTTTATATTTTGTACCATGGATGCTTACAGCTGAGTCACTTTCATGCACCAGCATAGTGTATTTGTACTAAGAGCCTGCTCTGATAGCACTCACTGGGACAGGAATAATTCTTACAGGGAAGGCCAAATATATTAGACAGTAGGGGACCACACATAAGAGTGTGGAGATAGGTTATACATGAGAATTCATAGGTTTCCAGGAGACGCAGCAATCATGAGGAACTTTCTGAGAGTATGGGATACCAAAGAAGTGAATAGCCAGTACTGGGAGAGGAAAATGGAAGAGAGTAGGGTTTAACTTTAGGGACAAGAGAGTGGGGTGCAGCATAAAGTTTTGTGTTTGCATGAGAGAAGCTGTATTGGTTTTATGTAGGCTTAGGTAAACCAACATGGTGAAACCTGTGGAAACACATAATTCAGATCAATTTTATGTAAACCTAGACACACCAGGACAAATTTTTGAGTATAGACAGGACATAAGGGACAAGTTTAGAAATGGTAAAAGGTGCAATGTATTGAAGGCAGGAAAAAAGTTTTAGTTCGACATGGTGAAACAGTGAATAGGTACAAGAGGGATTATGAGGAGGCAGGAAGTTAATTTCAGCAGTGGCTTTTTAAATAAGCTAGAGAGAAGAGAGGATTGAAATGGGAGGCTGGAAAGTGAAGGGGTTACAGTAACCAATGCATGAATACAGCTTTCAGTAAGATGGCTAAAAAGAATGGGTAGACATTCTGTTCAACATGGGAGCAGGGGTTTGAGAGGAGAAAGAACTTAATCTCATGTACCTACTTTGAAATGAGAAATGTGACACCTAAATTGAAAAATTGTTTACTTTCTGTATATAATTCAACATCGCCTGAAAAAAATTGAACCTATTCTTTATATTGCATTAACATCAAGGATAAGTTTCATGCTGTACAAACCTATAGGAAAATAGTTTTGTAAATACAAAATAACTGTTCTTGACTCAAAAGAGAAATTTATCTTTCTCCCATGACAAGACAACTGTTTTTCTTTACTTGCTTCCTTTGCACAATGGGACTCTATTTAAGATGCAGACCTGAAAAGTCTTTCATTAATTTCTTCGAGTTTTGTAGCCACCCTTGTTATTCACCTGTCTTGAACTGTTATGCTACATAGTTGGTGATGGTATTACTGTAACCATCCAACTAGATGCAGAATTTTAAATCTAGTAATGATTGGCCCTTTAGAAGAAGACACGCGAGTAAATAGAAATGGTGATATAAGGGCAGTTTGAGAACTTAGTCCTGTCACACTTTAATGTGTAGCGTTTTATGACAGTGCTTTGTGTGAACAGTGTGTTTATGTATTGTGGAATTAGAGAAACATGCCCATAAAATATGTGACATCCACATTAATACTGAATGTTTCAACTGGTTATAGAAAAGGTTGCACCATGTAAATTCAGAGGACTCTTGCAAGTTCCCACTCAAAATCAATTGTCTTTAAATTGCATGGCTTCTGTATGAGCTGAAATTTAAATCATTAAGCAATAGGAACAGAAAGAGAATTTTAGGTTTAAACTCTTACCAGTCCTCCACAAGTTGTTTCTTTTTGTAGCTTGCTTCTCTGCTTTGTATTTTCCTATTCCCTCTCATAGCCTTCACCTTTACTTTTTTTTATATAATCCTGTTGTTACTGCAGTCACTTGTCTGGCTTTGCTGTTATTAGCAGGACTCCTGCATTCTTCACTGCTGATGTAGAATTTATTGTGAAACCACAGCTTGCTAGAGAACCATGTGCCTACAGTCTGCACTTTCTTCAGTTCTATGTTTGAAATGTTTTCTTTGCAATGCTAGGGGATAGAAACTGAATTTAAGATGGTGCTGTTATATCCATCTAAACCAGCCTGAATTACCACTTTTCAGGTCAAGCTTGAAATCATTTCTTCCATTTCATGGAATAAATAATATTAGCTGTAGCATCCAGCTAATAGGCCAGAGCCTTGGGTGCTTTCTGGCTGTTTTGCACTGCAGTGCTCGTGTTGAGTTCTGGCCATAAAGTCGCAGGTGATGGAATGTTCCCTTTAGTGCAAATGCAAAGGGAGTCACTCCTCTGATGGGTATAGAGCCAAGCCTAGTTGTCACTTCTTATTGCTGGCATAGAAGGAAGGCACTGGAAGACATTGTGTATGACTAGGATTCCACTCTGCACTGTCAATTCTTGGCTGCTGTTTTGGCTCCCGTGGGCTATACCAACTGACTTGTTAAAGTAGACCTCAGGTTGATGTGCCTTATAGGGATGAAGCAACTCTATAGATAGCAACCTATAGCATGATGCTATCCTTATATCCCACACCTTGTGCAGTGTGTTCCTTGGTCTTAGCCAGTTATCTTCCCCAGTGTATTTGTTCCAAGCTCCCAAATGCCACTTCCTGTATTTTTTGGGTGTCAGAAGCCTCAGAAGTGCATACATAGTTATGTCCTCAAGTTTTACTGGCCTCATCCTCTTCCTGGCACTTTCTCCAGTGTGCTATCAATTCACATGCAGCTGATTGAAAACTAAACATTTCAAAGCAAATTTAATTTCAAAATAAATAATAAGAGTCCCCCCTCCCAACTGTATTATACTGTTTCATGTGCAATCCAATAAAAATATTTGTTTATTTTTCCTGAGGCTGTTGCATTTTTTTCCTGTGTGCAGCATTGGAGTTTTGCAGAAATCTCAGGGCATCTTTGTGATAAAATGAAATTCTACAGAGCTTATAAGGATTTGACTACATGTTTTAGACTACTGAGAAAACGTAACAAACTTAAGGAAGCTTCAACTTAAACTCTATAATAGCATCAGTCTTAAATGGCTGTGAACATAATTGTAATCCCTGAATCTTGCATAGCTTTCCAAAAGAGAGTCAAGATCACTCTACCAATCACATGCAGATTCTGATCCTTGCAAGAGATCCAAGAACTGCTCAGTTGATTTTAAAAAAATCATGCTCTTTTTAAATTGAGACAACTGAGGCTGTTTGCCATTTGTAAGGTGTCCTCAACTTCCAGTCTTGGTATTGTTTTCCAAGTGTCCCATCTTCTATGCTCTGCTTTTTTTCAATCAAGGGAAATGGGTCTTTGGGGGTCTACAGTTCTCATTTCCTTCTGAATTCAAAAAGATTTTATTTCAGCGAGTCTTGGCTTGGTGTATTGATATTTTTGGATCTCTTCTGATCTTTCTTTGAAGTGCAGTGTGTTTGTTTAAATGTTTTATTAATTCTTGCAGCAATGAATACAACAAGATAGGCATACAAGAAAGTAGCTGCAACTTACTATTTAGTTTAACTAACAATAAATGAATATGCTTTATCAACTTCTCATAATGAGTAGAAGGTACTTAAATAGGCTGGATACTTTGAAATATCTGGTTCTTGGAATCAAACCATTTTAACTTGCAGTATTGTACTTAATGGCACTGTGCTTTCAAATTCGTCATAAAAATATAATGAATCCAGTGATCAATATTTAGCTGTTGTATTGTTTCAGTAGTAAAGAAGTAATTTAATAGCTGAGGTTAACCAAAGTCAGTTTACTTCTGGGTGTAAATATAAGTAATCTGTTAGA